TCATTTTGTTTTCTTTTCCTTAGATTAACTTTCTGTTTATTTTTTTAGGAGAAAAACAAGCTGGCTACTTTTATGTGTTGCCAAAACCTTTTGAGAAGGTATGACATTGTTATTCTCGCACATTTTCAGAGAATGGCTGCTTTCTTGCTCATGTTAATGCTATTTCATATCAATTAATTTTCATGCACTTCCCCTTAATTTAGAGTGTCGGATAATTGTAAATTCTGAAACATCAAATTTGGACTATTGCCAAAAAAATCTTACTGAGTTGAATTTGAATCTTGCAGTGCTTGTCTGCAAGCTTCTTCTTCTGCTTGTTTATGGAAGAAGAGTAGCCATGCAGCAAGTTGCTTCAAACAGTTTTCGTAAACCTTTTCAACTTTTTTACCTGTTCTTCTTTAACGCATACATAGCAATTACCTTTGTGAAGTTCTTCCTAGCTCAACACTTGAGCACGTCTCGCATTGTGCCTGGTAATGTATGTATTTGATTAACCTTTGTTGCGCTTTGAGAAAAAGCTTATGGTGATCTTTTCGCATGTAAGTGATGTTTCCGACGATGAGCAATGGATTAGGAGAGTTGGGGAGGTTTTGCTTGTAATTAATCTTACAACACTATGCTTTGAGTTTAATTATCTATACACATGTTTTGCAAAAGTTCGCATACGGCTAGTCAAAAGGTTCAGGCGATAGTCACAGGAAAAAATGAGAAAAAAAAACGCAAGACATTAGATAATGGACTCATTATTTACTCATCAGCACACTGGAAACAGATATGATTTTTCGTATAGATTTTTACTCATGATACCATAGCTCGCTTGAAATTTCACTTGATTTCCACGGCCTTAAGTGATCTCGAACATAGCCCTAGCTTCGATTTCTTAGCAAAATTGCATGAGAGAATTTGTACCGATTTTTGCTTCTTTGTTTCTATAGAGGATCTATAAGTCTTTAAAGGGATCTGTGTTTGTTTCTTGGTCCGATGGAATTATTTGTTAGAGCTGTTTTTGTGTTTTAATCTCAGGTTAGTTCTCGTAAAAAGTTACGGTAGATGTACGGTAAAGCTCTTGTTTGAAAGACTTTTTTTGCAACTAGCTTGAAATACTTCTTGTTTCTCCCTAGCAAAGTTCCTGTGAGAGCTATCAAATAATTGCAAATTCCTATGTTTCCGGTTCTACACAAAAGGACAGCCCCCCCCCCCCAAGCTGTGAATCCCTTCAGTGGTAATAATGCCGTGGATGTTTGCGTATCGCTGGATAATGAATTTTGAATTGCGCTGAAAGAGGCTGACTGAAGAGAGAATCATAAATGCGAGCTACAGCTGTTCATTGGCATGTACTTTGTGGTTGCTTTGGCAAAAAGCAAAAGTGTAAAGCAATGGGTTTGTTTGTAAGTCTGGTTTGGAACGTCTGCAGTATCTTCTTTGGTTGAGTATGTAATCACTGTACTTGTTCTAGACTTGGAAATAATTTTGCATGCTTGAAAATATATTCGCAGTTTGCATTTTCTTTCTTTCCTTTTTTCATACTTTTTCTTTTCTATTATTTGATGCGTCAAAGGCTAATTTTTACGTCGATAATTGCAAAAAGTTTAAAAGTAACGCTTCCTAGGTAACAATTTTCTCGCCTGTCCCGCCTCCCACATATGTTGTTCCAGTCCAACGCCCATTTCGCCGCCCTTGCCTTAACTTTTGACGCTATAGCTTTCGCATTTTTAGTTATTGATGGGCTATTGCCCTTTCAGCTTTTAGGCGGTAGCTTTTAGAGAAAAGAATGTTTCACAGAAAGAGTCTGTTGCTACACCACGTGCGTTAACCATGGTAGAAGTTTGTCTGCAAGTTTGATGCCATTCTTTCCTAGGTAGGTTTTACATGGCAGATAAAACATTTTTTTTAATTTCAAATTTTTTGGATTAGCAGATTTTCTCTATTCGTTTTCGTGTAAAAAAAAGCTAGACTCTTTCACGTAGCTTCGTGTACCGTAGATACATTGAAAAAAGTGATTTCCGTTTCGTTTCTATACGGGAAATTGGGTAGGAAATGGTTTTCCCGGAACTCGTTAGTAGTGGAAGTCAGCGAAAATCGTATGCGAAAGAGAAATAAATGGGGAGATAGATTATTTTGAAATAAAGTAACCATAATAGGTGGAGCGAAATTGGTTACAAGCGCTTAGTATATATATATATATATATATACACCAGCGTGTTTCTTATCTTCAAATATATTGCAGCGATTATTGTTTTGTATGTTGCAATGTTATATGGCCCCCAGAAATTTGACCTGGAAGGAACAACTGCACTGCTCCACATGTGCGTGTGTGTGTCGAAGAGCGTTCGTGAGCGCATTTCGCATGCAAATCCCCTGCCGCCGACGCTGTATTGGTGTTCGCGTATTGCTGCTGTGCGAATTCGATCTTTAGGCTTGTGTGCGTGTGTGAGTGTGACTGGCTGGGCTGACGCTGGCCGTCGTGGCTATTAATTGCGAATGGCAGCGCCTCATCCGCGGCTCGGGACCGCCGCCGTCCGGGCGTTCCTCGCCGTCGCGCGTTCCCGAACCGTGCGCTCCGTAGGCCGCCGTCGCCACCACAGCCAGTCCTAGCCAGCCAGGCAGTCTCGGCCGTTCTCGTGTTCGTTGGCCAATGACCGTTGGAGCATGAGAGCGCTGCTGTCTTCATTCCGTTCACAGCATCGTTAACGATTCTCACACGCTTCCGACAATAGTCCTAGATCTTTGCGGCTTGCGATACACAAAACGTTCAGAAGTTTACCGGAATGATGAGAATTACGCGATATTACGCCACCAGTGCAGCTCCAAATGAGTTTGTTATGGTCGTCGGTGTGTTTTGCTGCTGCTGCTGTCCTGTCGTCCTCTGCACTTTCGTACACTTCCGTGCCGTTGCCGGACAATTTCTGCAGCAACGACCCCTCTGCTTTCCAAGAGATAAACACGTAAATGCACTTTTGCGCTTTGATGTGGTTCTATGAATAACAATTAGATGCCAAATGTTCTTCTGTCTCGCTCTCTCGATATTTATCTTATTTCGCGACAATTGTGAAATTTGCCAATACACGAACATAAAAAACGGAAGATTGGTGGGCATTTCTAGCACACGAAGGCGACAGAAATGGGTCACGTTCGACACCTTTGTGACATGGTTTGAGAGACTTTTGGACAAACGTTTCGTATTTTCGAGTAAATGGTATGGCCTTGCATTTTTCTTCTACTTTATGGTCAAGTAAGTTTTGACTCACAAGACTGCTCAGAATATACCTACTTATGTCTCCTTCTTGAAGTGCTGCCAAAAAAGTAATATAAGTCTAATAATGAAGAAAAACTCTTTACTCGTAAGTATACAAACTACTTCCGCTTCTACACATATCTTCAATGTAACGAACAAATAACACCCGCTCTACTTTTGTGACTGTGTGCACTGGCACACGTAACTTCCGCATTGCTCAACGAATTTTGTAAACAGTAAACGTTTTTTTGCTAGCTCCTTACTCACAAAGCTAGTTTGAGGCCGTGGTTGCGAATCTTCTTCCTTTTTCGAAGTTGAAATTGCGAATTTCAGTTGTTTGAGGTTGAAAGGAGCTACAAAAGTTTTGTGATTTTCTCATGCAGTGTGTGCATTGCGTCGCTTGCAAATAAAAATCACCTTTCCTCAAAGGCTTCTGGATCATTACGTAAGTGACCTGGGATACTTTAGTAAATTGGCAATCAGCATAAGCTTTCTCGATCGGTCTTATCCTCATATTTCACATTTAACCATCTGTTGAACTTTCATGCAAGGCTATACATGTGCAGTAAGTCATAGGAGTGCTTCTTTCATTCTTGCAACATTTTGATTCAATTCTTTCTTAGCTTGTTTTTCGTTACAGTGTCCACTTCGCGCTTTTTTTTTACTCTCGAACACTTCAGCGTATCATCACTCCGTTATCTTATCACGCCTCCTGCTTTTAACGTTCTAAATTGTATTGTTCGTAGAAGCTAACGAGATTTTTGTCATCATTTGAGCTTTTTCAATAATGCTTTGTGCAGTCCCCTGTTATGCACTTTTGCTGTAATTGTTCTTCTTAGCAACGACGTTTTCGAGCTATACTTTGTGAGCGTATTTTCATCGATTTCTTTTTGTACTCGGTTTTTGTTGCATTTTTATGTATTCAATTATGTATTGCAGAACACACACGGCTATGTCTCGTTTGCACTTTTGGTTTTTTGAGCTGTTTGATGTGTTTGCTTTCTAGTGCTCTTCTTTCTCTCTGCTTTTAGCCACTGTTTGAAAGCAGCAAATTGAGCGAGTTTTTTTCATGCTTTCAAGATGAAGAGAGGCTTACAGCTCTAATCTGTGAGTGCTTTTTCTACTAATTCACTTTTTTTGTTACTTTTTTTGAGCGTTTTTGCTACTATCGTCATGTAGTCTTTCTTGATTACTGGTGATTATTTTGCATGAAAATCGTAATGTGCACGGATTTTCCCACATGAGCAGCGTTTCTTGTCATTCAGAGCATGACTCAAACTGTTTAGTTCTTTCGTAAAAGTTCTGCGGTTAGCAGTATCCTTGATCGCGGCCCGGTCGTTTCGACCGCTTCGTGTCCGAGGCATTTGTAATTCTGTGTGTCCGTCCTTCGCTTTGCAATAGCATCCGTTTGTATAGTAAATTGATATCGATTCGATTTATGTGCGGCCGAATGCTCATGCGATTTGCTACTGCTGCGTTTTGTCTACTGTTTCTGGCATCTTAAGAAGTTTTTGGGAAATATTTCTTTTCTTTTTTATCAAAGTCACCTTTATCTGAAGTTTTCCCTATTTCTCGCTGATTTCGTTTCTCAGTAAGTAGATCTATTCTTTTTCTTCAATGTATATTTTTTCAGTTGTCTACAGTGTTAGTGACCGCCTCAAGACTGTACTCACTCACCTCATTCAGCACCTTTTTAGTATTTTTTCGCCAATTATCGCACTTCCTCGAAATTCAACATACTGTCCCCTCAGTCCTCTTTCATTGCAGGAAAGTTGCATCAGTGAATGTGTGAAAAAATCACGTTTGGTGTATCCTTACATTGAACAATGGATACAGTCGTGTTTCTGGCCCTAGCTGTACTTGCTGCAGTATTCATCGTATCGCTGCTGGTTCTGGTAGTTATGTGTCAAAGGCGTCGCATGCAAATTAGAAGTTTCAAGGTGAGTGCAGAATACAGTATGATTGTGAACAATTACTTTTATTTATGTGGTTGGTTGAAAAAAGATTTTTTTTGGGGCAAATTTGCAACAATAAAAGGTTTTGATTTGCAGCTTTTTTGTCTTCCCTATGATTTGAATGCCCTGCTGCCTTTAACTAATTATGACGTATATAATGTGAAATTTGATAGATTTCACCAGTAGCTCTGGGGTGACGTAAGAGCAGTTGTCTGGCCATTGCTTGCTTTTCTGATTAAGGCCTTTTTTGCGTCCTGCAGATGCACATTTTTTGCCTTTCCTTATGTCTACTCTCCTCTTTTGCAGCTCGCCAGCGCCAGCCCAGGATTTTCGAAACTACGCAATGAAAATCTAGATGGGCACATCATGCAACTCAGTCCACTTATCGGTATGTTTCTCGGGTTTCAGACTATTCGAATTTTCTTTTGCAAATTTGGCCTTCACTCCCTTTGTCCACGCAATGCTTCTAATTACATTAATCTCGTGCAAGGCGTTCACATGCGGTCTTGGCTTCTTCGTCGTTGGTCGAAGCATAGAATAAGGCAAAGTTGGTCGCTGATCTCACTAATCATGCTTATTGCGAACGCGCGAACAGAATCGAGCTTGCATCTGTGATACATCTATTCATCAGTTATTATAGTCATGGCGACGACCTTTCTCGCTTTCATACTATGTAGCAATTGAGCGATCTTTGGCTCATATAAGCTATGTGGAGTTTCGCAGTTAATCTTCAAGTCGCTGTAGTCGATGAGAAAGAAACGGCTTTTTAGCTGACTTGCGTGCTGAGTGGAAAGGTACATGCCAAATCCTTCAGTGGGCTGTTGCTATGCATGCGTCTTTTTGACTTTTTCTTGACTTTTTTCTTCATCGCTGGCAGATGGAAAAAATATTGATCAACAAAATGTGCATACATATTGCTCTCCATGGGTGGAGGTGAAATAGCTACTCGCCATGTTTCTGGGGAAATTTCCATATTTGATTTACTTTGCTACGGAATTTGGGTAATTAAGAGTTGTTACACTTTACCAGATGGAACCGTGGACGTGGTACCGAGACTAAGATCCTACAGGAATATGTACAAAGCAATCTACCTGACCCCCTTCCCCCCCCCCCCCCCTCAGTTCAAACCCGAGGGGTCGGCCCTTGCAGGATTTTAACTCCTCACCCGTAAGGGACATTTAGATGTCAGAGTATGTCAATATAAAATACCTGAAAGGGTGCGGTGAACGTATAAACTTGAAATCGGAAATGCTGCAAAAAAAGTCCGTGCTTGAAACTTCGAGATTTGCCCACACGGGGCTGTATAGGTTTTTCAGAAAATTGGATGTATGACATTGTTTGTCCCCCCCCCCCCCCTCCTCTCGCACCTCCAGAGCTGAGAGAAAAGTTTGATATATTGTCTTTCATCTTGACCAAGAAGAAAGTCTAGAATTAATATCTACAGGCGCGATTTGAATAATTGTCGCCGTACGCAATGCATTGCAGTTCTTTTTCCTCACCCTGCAGAGGAAATTGCCGATGGTTTTTCATCGGCAGAAAAACGCCCAGCGAATCGCATTTGTCGAATACTGGCGGGAATAACAAATTCTTTGTAATTTACGCGCTATTTTTGCAGAGCATTTTTCTTCGTTTTTTTTTTCTCCCTCAGATTCTCGACTATCAATGAGCGGCATCTGCAAATGATCGAAACTTTCTTTGCAAAGGACAGTGTCACATTTTTCAACGGACAGCGCAGTTTTGAAAGAGTTTTTTTTTTCTCGAATGATCTTTTCTGCAGTAATTTTACGTGCTGGAAATTTCTTAGAGGAAGCGTACGAGGGAAGAGAGGCATTGATGTGTAGATGGACCAAAATTCAATCAGTGTCAAGAAGATCTATTTATTGCGTAAGCTCAAATCAGCTCTTCTAGTGTGGGCACGGGACTTCACGATCAAAACAATCAGAGCGATTTGCGCGCCTTTCTGAAACTTTGATGGTTTCGAATTTTTGCCCCGAATCAATAAAAAACAGCATAGAAACAAATTTTTGCCTGTCAGGTAATAGAATCATCTTATCCGTCCCTACGTCATAATGGCTCCATCATTCCATTGTGCTTTTTTTCATCTGTCTGTGACTTGACCTCTACTGCAACCCTCTGGAAGGAATTCGGTACTCTGATGTCGCGTTTCGTAACTGAGGAGGCAATAATAATGGCAAAACCGGTTGTATCGTTCATGTGAAGGTCATTGGCCGCCTGCCAAGACACTTCGAAATTGCCGTTTCATGGGGCAGTGCCGGCAGCATTAGCACATGAGGGTTACTGTAAAACCAATGGTTGGCATAGACGATTCCAGCCCCTATAGAGCCCACTATCAAGAACATCTAGCGTGCAGTGGCGACGGTGGCGGTGGCGGCACCGGCACAGAGGTGGTTAGACGGCATCGACGACGCTGTCTCTCCCCTCTTTCACATGCGCATACGGTGTGTGTCAGAGGGGTTTTTGTCATCGCGGACTCTTGTATATGCGCGTCGAATATGCGATTGGCATTGAGTTTTGTTAGCGATTGGAATGTACGTCGCTGGCGGTTGTGAGGCGGGAATGGACATTTGAAGATAGGGAAGGGTCTGGAGGAGTGGTGGTGGTTTCGGGAGCTCTAGAAGTTTCTGCTTCTCTATAAAGAGCTGGCCGTTCTTTGCCTTTTCTCGGCTCCCGATGAGTATAGTCGAGCATAAACTCCTCATGGCCATATAGATGTAGATCCACTTATAATCTTAAGACTTTTTGTCTTGTGCAGTCCGAAGACTTTTCCAAGTTTTACTGATTATTCCAGACGGACAAAAATTATTAAAGAGGTAATTGACAATACCACAAAACATCCATAAGGCTAGAGGAACGAACTCCGCCATAGGGCCACCTTTACGGAGTACTTACTGGCTGCAGTAGCATCTGCGAAAGGACCAGTAGTCCGCGGAAATGCCGCTGATCGGCAGAGTTTAATCCTCTGCCCCATAGTTAGATGTTGATGCAGTCCCTCTCTCCCCCAGTTCTAGATTGTCTGCAACTTTTCGTGAGGCCATCTTCTGCTAATCTGTTATTTCTGTCGTATCATATATGGAATACCTGTAACTAAGGGCATCCCACTCCAACTGGCGGTCAGTCAAAGATAGCCACAGTCAGAAACACATGGACAAAGCTCGCCACTTACCCAGTCGAATGCGAGCAACCATAAGTTGACCCTTTGATGTGCCGCCTAAGTGCTGCATTTGAAAAAAAAGCTTAGCAGTTTTCTTCACATTAATAAAAAAAAGGATGAGGAGGCAAAACTTTTGCACGCTTTTTTGGCATCGTTTTCTGTGAATTTTTTTGGATCAACTTTGCTCGCCCTTTGTTGCGTTAAATCGTGCATCGAGAACTACTCAAGTCAAAACTGAAATTCGGTTTGAATACATATATGAGTTTTGAGTACTGTATCTCCATGTGAATCTTGATATTTTTGTCGCATAGATTGCAACAGTCATGTGTACAAAACAGGTCCTGCATATTTAGTCCCTTTTGTCGGTAGTATCTTCATTTTGTTCTGTTTATGAACGAATTTTAGTGCAAGAGCTTGTTGGCCAGCGGGCATTTTTGAAATTCCTGTTTAATCATCTTCCCAGCAGCATAATTTGTGGAGGAAAACTTACTAGATCGAGGAGCGGCTTCTGCTATCCTATCAGCTTCTTGAGTAGTTTGAATATGGTGAAAAAGTTGAAGAGTTCGTTCAAAAGAGTGACAGCTCAGAATTTCAAAGACTGAAAACAGTCATGGTGGGGAAAAACTCGTGGAAATTTTGCAAAAGTCAGAGTGCTTATCCCGTTCTTCATAAAAATTCAATACTTGAGTAGAGCAACAGATTTATCTATAATTTCAGCACAAGTTCTCGATAAGAACACCTGGGTGTACGATGTGACTGGCCTCCTGCAACATTGTGTCGCTGTGCTTCGCCTTTGTCATCAGCTCACGGATCAGCTGGCTGCTGTTCCATTGCAGCATGCGTCACCACAGCTTAGCCATATGTTGTGCCAGGCAACCCTTCGTGTCATGCCTCGTTTTGACGATTTGCTCAGCGCTGTAGCAAGTCCAGCGGTTAGTTTACGGGAAATTTGAGGATTCGAACTGCAGAGGAGAATTTTTGATTCAGGTTGATATTCGAGTGCTTGAAGCACGCGCCACAGCATTAGCTACCGTATGCTGGGCGTTGTATCTACCGTTCTCGCTTATCAGCCAGAAGTACAGAGAGGTAAGCCCGCATTTTTTCCATTCTAAATTGTTACTTTTATATATTCTTAATTCTTAGGCGATGGGTGAGCCGCTGCAGCAAATGGACCACCATTTGGATGCTCTGCGCCAGGCAGCTGAAATAGCCGAGAGGGCTAATCTTGGCAAGGTGCCATTTTTCAAATGTTATCATAGTGAGTATATCCTAGTATTCTTTCTGTTTACAGCTAGAACTCGACTGGTCTCATTTGGACGCCGTCGCTGAGAATGTGGCTGCTCAAGAATCTGCCAAAGTAGTCACTGAAACAACGCCGCTGGTATACACCGAAGAGGAAACAACAGAATTGAATGATCCCGTCACTGAACCCAACAATGTGTAAGTTTTTTCCCAGCTATTTGCTTATTTCTGGAGAGGTTTCAGCATAACTTTGCTTGAAGACACCCTCCAGAATTGAGGGTGAAGAGGTTTTGATGTTAGATGAGAGGGTAGGGGGAGGGGGACCTAACTAAACAATCGCTCATTCTTGCTGCAAAAGATGAAGTAATGAGAGAATACCGCTCTAGAAAGTAGAAGCACCCACAGCTCAACCCAACAACTAAGTGGTCGGGGATTGGAGCGCAAAATTGGGCGCTAGGGTAAAAAGTGTCGCTGATCATAATAAAGGGCGTTTCTAGATGGACGTGCCTTTACCCCCCCCCCCCTTTTTGCATATTTTATACTATTGCCTTTGCTCTGTTCTTTGTGTCGTTTATGCCATTTTTTCTGTTTTTTGAGTGTTCACTGAAAAGAGCATCTTCGACGGATGTCAGTTTTTATGGCCACAATGAACACTAAGTAGTTTTTATTATAATGGAAGTCAACTGATGTGTTTTTTTTATTGGGAAGTGTCTGAACACTTGCGTTCAAAATGCAATAACAACAGTAATCGAAAAGTTGGGGATTTTGAGCGAAATTATAGGCAGCACTGAGTGATTAAGATAGTCTAGATTAAAATCATTTGTAGCAAAGTTCCTTTGAGATTTTAATACATAATTGTGATTCTGATTGATTTTTTTTATTCAGATCAAACACGGCCAACAACAACGGCAACCATCCCATCGACCCGAGTGGATAGCAAGGAATTTTGGTTGGATCTTTCGCATAACGCTTCGTTTTTGATTTCTCGTACACAGTTTTCCTTACTCTTGCATTTTGTTCCCCTTTGAATTTTGCAATTGTACCAAGTACCAGGTTATGAAATCGGCTAACAAGACTGAAATTCAGGTAAAAGTTACCAATAACGGGATAATACTATACGTTTGTATGCTAGTGTTAGTGATTACAGTACTTTTACAGTACTCCTCCCTTGTTTCCACAGGAACCCATCATTAAATTACGATATTGTTATCGTTTCAAATACCTCCATTTACTCCCCTGAGTCCTTGAGTATTTGTCTTGTGTGCGCGTGTTGTTAAGGTTACTATAGAGCTTTGTAGTTTCATAGTTGAATAAGTACAGTACATTTTGCTGCGATTTCGTGGACAAAGGCGTAGTATGTTTAGTGGCAGAATTGTGCAAAAATGCGTCACTGTTCGCGAAGTTGAGCTGACTAACGCAACCTGTATAGATTTATCGCCTCGTAATATCAGTAACGTTATAATAATTCAAATCGCCTCCGTTAATTGACCTCCCAAAAGTGTTACTGTTTTTGTTCATAGTATTTGCAGAAAGTCGCGGTTACCGTTCTTTGTTCATTTAATTTTACAGTAAGTGCAGTATTACGGTAATTCTGGCGAAAACACGCTGCTATTTTACGGGGACGACTTCTGTATTTACAGACATGCTTGTTTACATTATCTTTTCACTTGTACGACCTACCGCTGACAAATCACATCATACCTCCCTACGCGATACTTGGCATATTTTCTCCTCTATTCACCGCCTGTTTCTTATTTGACAATTGCTGGTTATTTTCATCTATTTTACCACTATTTTATGTAATGAGATTATCGCCCAATTGTCCCAGATTGTTACTCCCATAATTCATTCAGGCATTGTATAGGTATCCTGTGTTGTTGATATGCAAATGATTGTAGTGGCCATTTTTGAGTTTTAACAGACCAATCGGAGGCGGCCACGCCCACCGTTGTCTCAGTTGTCCCAGATTGTACATCCATAGTAGCGTTGTTGCGAGTATGAAATGATGGTCATTGTCGGGTTGTTGAATGTTTGTGCTTGTGCATGTTGAGCGCAACAACCTGTTGATCAATAAAATGCTACCAAAATGATTTCCGTTTTTTATTTAGTAAATTGGCATCATACTTATAATTTGGAAGTGATCTTGCAATGTGAGGTTTTATTCTAGTCAAGTTCAAACCAGATGGCTGCACTAAAAGATGCGCTGTCAGAGGCGATGAGTTCGGTTAGTTCTCTTCTTAAATCAAACTTATGTATGAAGAGAGATCATAGTTAATTATCATTGAAGGTTATAGTTTTTTCACACTGCTACGAGCCTATTTCAAAACACTAGGTAATTCTAAGGCCCCGGGCAGATTTCACGCGATTTGATCGTCGCGACTCAATCGCCGACATTTCCATTCATTTTCATTTCACATTCAAAAATTTCGGGCTGGAAAAGTATCACAACCGAAATGCAAGTTGATCGGCATGGAATGATGTTGTAACAGTTGTCTCCTCGCGATTCAGTCGTGAAGATCAAGTCGCGTGAAGTCTGCCCGGGGCCTAAGACTGCTAGTGAGGATTGTCTTCTTTAGTACGGTTTGTGAGAGACAGCAGGCGGCTGAAGGCATGAAGCGCACTTTTTGAGAAACGAGGACAGCATCCGCAGCGGCACCTTATCTCTGCGTGCGATAAATCGACATCCGTTAGGCTCCTCCTCCTGCACATCTGCAACAAGCCATGCATCTCAATTATCTTTACCTTTCTGTTCGCGCATGCGGGCTCCATCGGCGGATAACGTCATCTATATTGTAGCACTAGTAACAAACTTTTTTCTTATTGGATTAGCAAAAGTTTTTACTAAAATGATACCTAGTGAATACACTTCATGCGAACAGTAAGTGTCTGGAATTGACGGAACGGTCCAGGAAATTATTATGCAGAGATAGGGGAGGGTGAGGGCGGCAAAAAAAATCTGTATGAAGAGACGTGGCAGCAGGCTCCCTAGAATTTTTCCCCAAACTCACTGAATAATTTTTTCCAATACTGACTTTTTTTGAAAAATTCAAAAATTATTTTGATTATTCACAAGTGAATGAAGTTTGCTTGCGCAATCTCACAATTCGTGTAGGCAACCTTCAAAAATTCACGAAATTCCCGGGGGGGGGGGGCTGGTATCTGGACGACCGGTAACGACACGGCGCTGAAACGGCTGGATTCGCCATGGAGCGCGGATTGTGATTAGAGCGGATTTCCTCACCTGATTTCAATTTGGACAAATAAGATTTGGACCAAACCATGCTCACAGCATTTTGGGCGGGGAGGATATGTTAGCCTACTTGTTGTTATCGCTCAATAACTATTTTGATTTTTGAGTCTGAGCCACGGGTGGAGTTGGTGCAGATGGATAAGTATGTATGCTGAACAAGTGAACATAATGGGGAAGGGAATCTAACACACAGGAGTGGGACATGGACAGGAGAATTTTGTTTAGTGATGGAATATTGACTTTACTATAGCGTATCGAAGGAAAGGGTGGAGTCAAGCATGCCGGCCAGAAATGCAAAGAATTCTACATTTTCTGGGAAGGGATGAACTCAATGGAAACTCTATTTGATCTTCAGATCAAAAGTAACGAAGAAATCTTGATGAGTCCAACAAATAAGACTCGACCCAAGTTGAAAGCTGTAGTGGAAAGTGTTACTGCGATCAGACTCACGCATCGTTTGTGCTCGAAGGGGGTTCCCAGTACCATCAACGTGGCTGCCTTTCGATCGTTTCAACGTGTCAGCTTCGAATAAGCGCCTTCAATTTGCTGTAGTTAACGTGTCAAAACGATCGAAAGGCAGCCACGTTGACGGTACCTACGAGAACCTCTCTGATGCACAAATCAAACAGTGAATAAGCCAGCGTACTTCAAAGCAACATTGGAGCACATGACAACATGTGCAAGAACAAGAGGCCATTAGGAGAACTAATTTCAGTCTACCTTCTCTTTTATCTTGCAAGCTTATATTGATCCAGTATCCAGGAATTACTGTCTTGCTAATCATAACGACCACATCTCATGCACCACTTCCGTATAATCGCTCTTTTGTTCTGCTTCTTCACTTTCGCCTAGTTGTTGCAAGCTATGGAAGAGATGTTGGTTATGTGTTATACGTTCCATATATCAAAACCTACATTTGGTTCACCTTTCTGCAACAACCAATTCCCGTTTCTGTAGTGAGTATATGCATCTAGCCTCAGTTGGGAGGACCTTCACTGCGGAAATTATCGCAAAATAAGTACTTATATGTGCACTTAACCGAAGCGGACTCTTGTAAGTAAACATGCGAAAAAGAACCACTTGAGTCAAAAAAAACCTTTGAATCATCTTTCGTCAAACGCTAAAAAGTCAAGTTCCATGCCAATTACGCGCTCCGCTCGACAGCCGCGCTCCAAGGCGAATCCAGCCGTTTCAGCGCCGTGTGGTTACCGGTCGTCTGGTATCTGCTGATGCGGCAGAGGCAGCCTCTCCTACCAGCATGGGCGAACCGAAGATGTATAAGAGCAAAACCGGGCTTTTAACCTCGGGCATAGCTCACGCGATTTCATCGCCTCACGGTTCTTCCAGCACGACAATTGTTACGAGCCCATTGCGTGCCGGTCCTCCTCCATTTCGGTTGTGATCGTTTTCCGACACAACCAAAATACGAGGTAATGTTCTTCGTTCTGTTTGGCGAGTTACAGTTTAATGAGTGCGGTCGGAACGAATGGGCAGAGAAGAAAACAATGATCAAAATTTCTTAAGCGTGGAAAAATGTGGCCTTTCAGAAGTCGCCAGATGAGATCCGAAATGTGTGTCTAATTGCACATGTAGATCATGGTAAAACATGCTTCGCAGATTCATTAGTATCCACAAATGCCATTATATCTGGTGAGTTTTCTGTTTTACTTTTGTTTTTTGTCGTGTGCTGAGACATGTTTATGTTTTTTCAAATTATTTTTCCATGGTTTTCTCATTTTCGACAAAATACTTTAGCTCGGATGGCTGGCAAACTGCGATTTTTGGATAATCGCGAAGATGAGCAAACTCGCGGTATCACAATGAAATCTAGTGGAATCTCATTATTATATGGTCCTATGCTTGTAAATCTCATGGATAGTCCTGGTTTGTCTTCATTCTAGATTTCACGAATTAATTCTAAACGGTTTACTAAGGTCATGTCGATTTCTCCTCAGAAGTCACCTCAGCTTTATTATTATCTGATATCGCATTACTGCTTGTCGATGTTGTGAGTTTTACTTACTACCACTACGGTCTACTTCAGTTTCGACCCTATTTGGCTCTTCCAGGTTGAAGGTGTCTGTTCACAGACCCAAGTTTTGTTACGACAAGCAATCACACACGGGCAAACTGTTATTCTAGTCATTAATAAAATGGATAGGTAGGTGCGAAGAAGTTGACAATGTGCCGCTTTTGAAATTTGTTCCTGCTTCAGGTTACGAGTAGAACTGAAAATGGAAGCCACAGAGGCGTATACTCACATTGTTCGGCTACTTGAAGCAATAAATAGCTGCGTCAGTCAGGTCAGTCTGAATTCGATTATATCGAGTTTTCCAAACTTGGTTTTCTTATCTCAGTTATCTGACGATTTCTGAACTTTTGTTAACGTGCGCGAGCGATGGCCATCACGGCATCTCGATCACTGATCATAAATCGACTGTAAATAAAATCGCTGAAGTGCGTCGTTGGTTTGCCGAGTTGTGACTGCGATTTGTAGGTGGTTCAAGGCATGATGCTGGAAGAAGACGCGGCGGGGAACATTGATGAACTCGAGGCCGCTTTGCACTTCAATCCGGCAAAAGGTGGGGCGGAGTTCCAAAAAATCGGAAAATTGGAATCGGACCGATCTTCGAATTTTTTTTTCATTTGGAGACTCGTCATCTGCCGTCTTTTTAGGGAACGTCATCTTTTCCTCAGCCATCCATGGCTACTCTTTTGGAGTGGAAGAGTTTGCTGAAATCTACACGGAAAGGCTCAATATCCCAAAACCTCGGTTAACAGAAGCTCTATTTGGAGACTTCTACTTTTCTGGAGGCAAGATCAAGGTAGTTGCATATATGAGAGTTCCGAGATTATTCACCCCCTGCACTATAGGACGAGGCTGCAGCACGAGGTAAAAAGACGTTATTCGTTCAACTCGTGCTGGAACCACTATGGGCTTTGCATGATTGTGGATTGGTAACGAATGATTTGGCAAAGTTGGTAGAGCTGACAGGTTGGTTAGTTTAGCTAATTTTAGTTTCCTTTTTTTAGCACTTTGAGTGATCTTAATTACTTTTATAGCTCATCATTAAAATCGTATTCATTTGTATCTTAGAATTGGCTGAATGCGTTTGACTCAAACGATACCTGTTGATGCACCAAGATTTAGATTATTTCAGGGAAACTAGGGGTCACCATCAAATCAAAACGGATTTTGGAAGCTTTCGATGAAGCCATGAGGACATGGCTTCCCTTGCCACAAGCTTGCTTTCGTGCTTGTGCTCGCGCACCATCCGCAAGATCAGCTTTCAAGAATAACCGTAGGTTGGAATTGGGAATATTCTTTCTATGTTTTCTTGCTTTTGGTGAACTCCGTCATGCTCTTTCTAGAATGCAGTACTTGATCGGAAACAAGACTGATCATCCCTTAGCCAAGGCTGTGCATGAGTGTTCTCCCGAAGGTTCGTAATACTCTCCGCAACATTAACTTTTTTATAACACCGATAGGTATCACCGTGGCGCTGGTTGTGAAATTTGTACGAAATGAAGGTCGGAAATGTGCAATTTGTCGGATTTTCAGTGGAAAGCTTACTGCTGGCCAGGAGCTTTATGTGCTGGGAAGAAAGGTAAGACCTTATTCCACAGCTTTTACTAACAAGCTTTTACTAACTTACTATGTGAGACTTGCAGGCCTTGAAAGAGGGCACAGAGGCCCCAAAAGTCACTGTGGGAAGTGTTTGGACTCTAAGAGGTCGCGATTTGCTACCGTTGAATCTCGCAACTGCAGGCGTAATCTGCGCCATTGACGCACAAGGGCTGCTACAGGTACAAGAAGCTCTTATATCCATATAAGACCCTTACCTCGTCATTTAGAACGCGACTTTATGTTCTGAACCTGTCAGTGAAGGATTGAACGTTGGAATCAAGCAGGGTGAACCACTAGTCCGAGTTTCTGTAAATACTGCTAATCTAGAAGATATGGACAAGCTTAAAGAAGACTTGAGACTATTGTCCATCCTGGATCCTAGCCTTAGGGTAGCTTTCTTCTTGGCTCCTTAATGCTTTCAAATGAGGTACTTGAGGTACTTTCAGGTGTTGGAGTTGGACAGTGGAGAGCTAGCGATGATCACTGCTGGTGAAGTACATCTGCAGAAGTGCCTCAAAGATCTGGAAGATCTTGGATTTAGCGACTTAGAGGTAATTTCTCAATCATTTTTGTTGCTTCTGCTCGTTGCTTGAATTTTTGATGTTTTCGTCACTACTGAGGTTCTTCATCGAATTTTTCTTGGGTAATGTGTCTTCGAGTCTGTTTAGGTTTCAAAGCCAATTGTACCATTCTTGGAAACGATTGTGCCAGATCCTCAATTGACAAGCGTTCAGATCCAGGAGCAAACCACCGTAAGACCTACTAATTTTCCTGAAAATTGAGTTAATCTCTCGATAGCTTACGATTTGCGCCGTAATTATGTTTCTCTCAAATTCTTGTCTAGGAATGCCATCTCAGGAGTGACTCCCTCTATATTCGTTTGAGGGTTGCTCCGCTACCAGATGAAGTGGTAGCTTTACTGGAAGAGTCGGCAGAGATACTGAAGTCCATTAGAGGAGGACATGTAGATGATTCGACCTCGGCAGAATTCAAGTGAGTTTTCCAACCTTAGGACTGGTCACCTTGTGCTGCTCTTTTCAGGACGAAGCTGCTGGCGGTTTGCGAAGATCATTTGCCCTCTTGTCGAGGATCTTGGTGGTACAGAAAGAGCAAAGAAGAGATTGCTGAATTTGTAGAGAGGGTCAGTACAGACATGATTGTAATGGTTTGTAATTGTAAAAAAAAATTTGAACATTTCCAGATTTGGTCTTTTGGCCCAAGTAGAGCTAAAGCCAATATATTGATCAACGGGATTCCTAGTTACCAAAGAAGGCCTATTTGGGATAGCAGTGAGTAGCTGATCAAAGGAGTAATTCAGTATCTACCTTAAACTCTTCAGAATCTGAGCTCGAATGCCGCCCATTTGATCAGGCCATCATATCCGGCTTTGAGCTGTTTGTGACGGCTGGACCATTATGTCATGAAATCGTGAGAGGAGTGGCGGTGATCGTGGAAGAATGGACCGTGGATGAAGACGTAATATTCTTTCAAGCTTATTTTCATGCTTTGACCTTCACCTTGAAATCAGGACGCTGCTGTTGCTGGACAGCTGATGACCGCGATGAAAGCGACATGCAAAGCTGGCGCAGAAAAGTTGGCATTGCGGTTGGTGGCTGCGATGTATAGGTGAGATCTACAAATTTCTTCCGATATGTTCTATGACTTCGAACATGCAGCATATTACTGTACACAAAGCAAATTTTTATCGCGTTGTGCTACACTCAATATTTCACAGGTCACACAAGTCTCCTAATTTTGAAATTTATTAGATTGATCTCATAATTCATTGTTCATGAGAGATCAAATTAGGAGGCTTCAGTACTCCTCTTCAGATGCCTTGTGACCACTGCAAGTCAAGCGTTAGGGAAGGTTCATGCAGTGCTGGCTCAGAGGAAAGCTAAGGTGATTGCTTTTCTGCTAGTTATCTCTTCCAATCCCAAGGGTCTGGCAAGAAGAACGCATGATTGTCCAATTCTTATGATTTGTTTCGCCTCTGCTGATTTCTTCAGTGAATTTTCAGTGCAGTTCTTGAAATTTCTGCCAAATCTTTGCGGCTCCACTGAGACGATCTGTCTCGCTTCTGATAGAGTAATTTGCTTTTAAGGTTTTGAATGAGGACATAAACGAGGCTACGGGACTTTTCGAAGTGACAGCTCTGATGCCTGTTGTGGAATCGTTTTCTTTCTGTGATCATCTGCGCAAAAACACGTCCGGCATGGCTAGTGCTCAGCTTGAGTTCAGTCATTGGCAACTGATCGATGAGGTTAGCGGTTTGCTAATTCAATTCTAATCAGCGCATTATGTCTTCAGGATCCATATTGGCAACCATCTACCCTCGAAGAAATGGAAGAGTTCGGTGTGAAAGGCGATTCACCAAATCATGCACGAGGTTATATGGATGCTGTGCGACGTAGGAAAGGTTTGCCAACGGACGACGTTATCGTAGTTTCTGCAGAAAAACAAAGGAATCTGAAAAAGAACAAGTAGATAATTGTCGAGGTGTCCTTGGCGTGGCTTCCCCAGCTTTTTATCGGGCGAGAACTGGTCTCTACTTCATTTGAGCACAGTGCTTTAGTTCCTCGAACGTTTATCAGGTCTGTCTTATGATCTGCCATCATGAACAGTTTTCGTCTGTGCAATTTACCATATATACTGTTATCTATTGTTATTGTTAATTGTTACTTGTTGTCTTTGCATGTGAAAGCCAACTGTGAATAAATTTCTAATCGAAATGTAAATCATCGGAGCAATTTTGGTCTTGCTTGTATTTTCGACCATATATGGTATTTTTTACTGAGGTGAAGAAGAGACACTTAGGGATACGTCCTCCTTAGTCCTTTCGCGGCATTACCCACCTTCTTTGAGGAAAAAAGCAGGATCACTTCTGAAAACCATTCGTATAGATGCTCGCTCATTTTAGTCTATACTTTATTTTGAGGGAGACCATTAATGAGTGACATCAAAAGAGTCGTCATTGGCGACGACTTGCAAGATTGTTGCTGCTTTTTGAGCTAGGACAACTAAACGACTCCGGAGATTGTTGAGCGGCGCTGATCTAGGTCCCTGAGCAAGAACTGAACCATGACCTTAGAGGGATTATAAATAAAGGACGATTCGAGGATGACCGTTATTTGTTTACAAGTCTTTTTGGGAAGGGCAATACTTACAAGTATTGCAGGGGACGCGTAACACTGAAAGTGCATTTAAAGTCGCTAGTTTAGTTGTGGTTTAGTAAGATACAAGTACTGTAGTGGTATAGCAGTACTAGTATTGTAGTCGTTAGTGTAGTTGTAGCAGTAGTATGTTACAGGTCCTGTACTGGTAGCCTAGTAGTACAATCGTTGTAGTCGTTAGTGCAGTTGTAGCACTATGACCACCATACAAGTACTGTAGTGGTATCCTAATAGTGCAAGTATAGTCGTAGTCGTTAGTGTAATTGTAGTCGTAGAGTCGACCGCACGAAATCGTTCGAGTCGGTATAGGATGAACGCACGCGAGCGTGCCTGCAATGCGGCTGCCGAGTACGGGAGCTACGATGAATCAGCGCGAATGCCAATGTTAACCGCAGGAGACACGCTCGCGGGCGTTCAGCCCGGACGAATCCATGCAGTCAACTATAGTATGACACAAGCAGAGGTGCGATAGGGGAGCCGGGTCCCCCAAAAGTGAAGGTGGTTTCAGCTACCACTGGCCGGCCAAAAGTGAAGGTGGTAGTGTCGGACACTCACCTCCCAAAAACGTCGACGGGGGGGGGGGGGGGGGGGGGGAGGTGCGGGGGGAGGATAGAACGGACGAACGGAGCTATCTTTCTAGGTCTAACGTCGACCCAACGGCCCTCTTTAGGGCCACAGATACGATGAATATTAAAAATATCTATAAATTTTATTTATAAAAATTTAAAATAGACGTGTTTAGTAAATGGTGTATTTGGAAGTAGAAGTTTGTTGGACTGTACGGATTTTATTAAGCAAATTTTGTTATAACGTACAGCGAAGAAAGTAGATCGATCCAGGCAGTAACGGCCGAGAATCAGAATTTCGAATAAATAAATAGTGAAAAATCATGCAAAATTTCCACTGTTATAAATCTGTTGTTTGAAGATATCAGCAGTTGCGACTTCATAGGTTTTAAAGAGTAAATGTTGCTCTATCAGCTAGTGAAGGAATCTGGTCGATTTAAGAGATAGTCGTTGAAAACCAGAGTTCTAAAACTTTACGCCATTTTTGCGTGTTTTTTGACTGTTGAGAGTTAAACTCTTATAAATCTTGAATGTGGAAGTGTATGATGTTGCGACTTCATAGGTTTTATAGAGTAAGGTTTGCCTTATCAGAATATGTCTTGTCCGTTCCGATCCATTGAAACACCTCCGAGATCCAGAGTCATGAAAAAGCAGGTAAAAAAGAGCTTTTTGAACTTCAACAGCTCATAACTTCTTCAGGATTGCACGAGTCATGTTGCGACTTCATAGGTTAGATTCTTCTCGTCAAGAGCTTTCAGATGATATATAATATGTGGGGGTTTCGCGCCTCTTACGGCATATGCCCGGGGGGGGAGACTTTTTAGGCCAAAGTCTCCCCCGGCAGCCTCCAGCCAATACATTAAAATGGGCGAGGGGGAGACTTTGGCCTAAAAAGTCTCCCCCCCCCCGGTCATAATTCGCAGGAGGCTCTAAACCCCCACATATTATATATCATCTGAAAGCTCTTGACGAGAAGAATCTAACCTATGAAGTCGCAACATGATTCGTGCAATCCTGAAGAAGTTATGAGCTGTTGAAGTTCAAAAAGCTCTTTTTTACCTGCTTTTTCATGACTCTGGATCTCGGAGGTGTTTCAATGGATCGGAACGGACAAGACATATTCTGATAAGGCAAACCTTACTCTATAAAACCTATGAAGTCGCAACATCATACACTTCCACATTCAAGATTTATAAGAGTTTAACTCTCAACAGTCAAAAAACACGCAAAAATGGCGTAAAGTTTTAGAACTCTGGTTTTCAACGACTATCTCTTAAATCGACCCGATTCCTTCACTAGCTGATAGAGCAACATCTACTCTTCAAAACCTATGAAGTCGCAACTGCTGATATCTTCAAACAACAGATTTATAACAGTGGAAATTTCGATGATTTTTCACTATTTAAATATTCAAAATTCTGGTTCTCCGCCGTTACTGCCTGGATCGACCTACTTCCTTCGCTATACGTTATAACATAATTTGCTTAATAAAATCCGTACAGTTTTGCTAAGCTTTACTTCCAAATACACCATTTACTAAAAACCTTTATTTTAAATATATATGCCGCCGTATACATAAATATATGCTTTCAATAATCTTTTTTGCGTTTGTTTTGCTTATTTTCCTTCTTTGTCGTCCAGCGAAAAATTTTTTATTCCAAAAGTGAAGGTGGTCACCCCGTACCAGCTCAAAAGTGAAGGTAGGGGGAGACTTGGCTCCCCCTATCGCACCTCTGGACACAAGTCCTGCGGTTCGCCTACTAATGTAATTGTTGTGGTTGTTAGTGCAGTTGTAGTAGTAGTATGATACAAGTAGTGTAGTTGTAATCTAGCAGTGCAAGTGTTGTAACCGTTAGTGTAGTTGTAGTGATAGTATGATACAAGTACTGTAGTTGTAGCGCATAGTAGTAAAAATGTAGTTGTAGTGATAGTAAAGCAGTTGCTTAGCAATAATACTAAACTCACAAGTCCATGTTATTAATCAGGATGTTATCGTTGATTTCATACATCGCTAACACAACCATATGTCATCATGTATATGTAGTATTGGTGTTATCTCATTCGTTTTTGCTTGTTATGATAAAGGTTCAATTACCTAAGTTCCATGAGGTACATTGCCAAGAAGCGCGCGTTGCAGCACAAGACTTTAAAATAGCACCAGCACTACTTCCATTTTCCTACAAAAAAGGACTTCCTTCTGTCTCCCTGGAAGTGACTACAGCGGGCAGCGGATTTGCGCGATCGCCTCGCTTGGGCTTGATCGCGTTCGGGGCGTGTTCTCTGACCATCTGACCATGATCTGAGCTCCTCTCCACGCTCAGGCGTTATCTAAACTCTAATTCACAATGTTCTGGTGCAGAAGCGAAACTAAAGTCGGGGGGAGAGGGGGGGGGAGGAAGGGGAAGCAATCGGAACACCTAGTTTAGTGAATCTAACGATAAATATAGTGTTCCTATGCATTTACCGACATTATTTGCCACCATCATTGGCTACACGCGCAAATGTTGTTAGCAAACTACCTCGGAAGCGACTTTCAATGCCCTAATTCCCCCCCCCCCCCCTCCCCACTTCTCCCCCCGAAATAAATTTCCTGGATCGAGGCGTTAACTAGAGATTCAATCTTTGCACGAGATTGACAAGGTTATCCATATATACATCACCTCATCACATTGCTTGAAGTTCTAAAAAAGGTTTAAACATCTCCTTTCTTCTTCCTTGTCCCCAGAACTCCGCATCTCGAATATTCGAAATGTATGAAAAAAGAGTGGTTTTTCCTACGTCCATGTTTAGCACCTTCCCTCCAATTTGTCTGAAGGTGTTTGCTAGTCTGTCATTTCTCTTTGTTGGCTTATCATGCCAGCGACATAGATAAGCGTAGTTCACCTTTTATTGATTGCGGCCAAAGTCAACATCAATCAAGGTTTTTGACCATTAATGGGTCTGGAAGTAGCTGTGGCAGCAGTTCCTTTTGCGAAAACGGGGGAAATTTCACTTTAATTCTAACGGTATTTCTACCCTTATTTCTCAATTCTCGCAATCCGCGGAGCGCTCACTGAAGTCTAGAAAATTCAAATATAGCATAAACTTCAGCTTTGTTCACTAAGCGTGATATTAGTAAGAGCCACTCTACGTAGACTATGCCCAACAGATTTGAACTGTCTTGTCTTTTCCTTCTATCAACTAAGGAAAACACTTGGAGAGAAACGCAAGATTTAACTTGTCAAAGGTGTTTTGCGTAACATTTTAAAGCCTTTCAGAGCAGATTGGACTATATCCACATGTTGCTGCCTCATCATGACTTCACTGCCACATTAAAACTCTTAATAAATTTGAGTATAGCCGTAATTTTACGCCATGTCGGCCACACACTTTAGAGCTGCGTCGTTGTTGCAGCGCGACGGTTTATCGTGGTTGAGTTTTTGTGCAGGTTAATATATGAATTTATGAATTGCGCTAGCAGAGGACTTGTGTGCTAAAAAGTTGCCTTCTTCGGAAGTTTGTTGAAATTGTCACTTTTTGAGCTCGAGTCACCTGCAAACCTCCATTTCACAATATTTACTTCACAGCTGACTTTTTTCCGAAAAAGTCGTGAAATGTTGCGCATGGCGTGCAAGCACACCCATTAACCTCGAGATGATTCGACTATGAACTCATTGAGGCTTCGCATAAAACAACAGAGATTCTCTTACAGCATGCATGACTTTGATAGAACTCAAGCGTGCCTTGAAAATCAGCAATCTCTATCCACATTTCCTGTTGTTTTGCACTTTGTGGTGACGTTCATGCGCGACATCGCAACGCGACGCACAAGCATCCCTATTGATCGCGCGCGACGTTGCAGGGTCTCGACTGCACTACTCGACCGTCGCACAGCAAACTACGCTCACGTCTCTCGGCTATCAAACAAATTATTCAATTCGGAGTGGAAATGGATGTCGATCTAGGTAAGTATGCCAATCTCGTCGTTTTTTTCATTAATTTTATTACAATTACAAGCTAAGTGGTGCATTTGTCTTTTCCTTTTCATCGCTTTTTTTATCTCGAATTTTTTTATGGCAACTGTTTGTGTTCAGCTCCCTCAGAACCGTTAGACTTTTTATTTTGATTTTAACAAACTTCACATGTATCTGGTTTCCTCTCCCCCGTTTATACCTTGGTTTCTTGGAGTCAGGATTGTAAACATTCTTTTACCTTCATTTTTCCGATTTCCTCGCCAAATGCTATCGATTTGACGCAGTCCCAGATCCGTGAACGTCCTTTATATGACCTTTAAGGAGATCTGTCATTTGTTTTCGGATAGTGCAGTTTTGCAGGGTTTGCGGGTTTTGCAGCGGTCCAGTTTATAACGTAAAATATGGTCTATCTGCTGCTTGTCAGCCCTGCTACAGCAGTATAAAACAGAATAAACAAAGAGTATGCATGGTACTGAGGGAAAAATGGAATTTGGTAGTAGTGTGGTTTGGTCCCAATATTAGGCTTATGATTTTGAGGCCTGTCAGATATTGCCACGTTAATTCTTTTTTTTTTTGTGTTGCCCATGAAAGCAGATTATCCAAACACAACGCAGATTGGTTGTCGAATATAAGCGTAATTACCATTCAGTGTTTGGACGCTCTCAAGGTGCATTTGCGGTGTCGACAACACTTGCGCGTGAAAAACGGCAGCAGAGCGCGGATTTACTATAGTGTATGCGCGAGCGCCAAATAAGTAACGTGTACTCCCTATGGTCATCCCGATGTACGTGCTATCGCTGCAGACGTTCGCAATACGACTCACTCTCTTCAGCTTGTGTTTGGCATATTGTTAGTTTGAGTGCGCATGTGTACCTAACGTTAGCTTCTGGCGTCGCTGATGCGCGCTTCACGCCACTGTTTCGCATGAACTACTACATTTATATGTTAGCTCCATGCGACTACCTACTGTATTTTCTACCGTTGGGAGGTCTAAATCAGTGTAAGTTGAGTAGAATTAGAAGTCGTGTCCTTGGGAGAGGCATCAGCGCACTTTATTTTACGGCTTCAGAATTAGCACACTCTAGTTTACTGGTTTTAAAATAGTTTAAGTGTTGCTTGAGGAATAACATATGAAATCTCTTTCCTTATCGTCCCTGTCTTCCTTGAGCTATTTCCATCGTCTTTTTCCATCACATGTGAATCACTGTAAAAACACCTTCATTCTTCTCTCTCCAACTCCCTGTCCTCATACTCAGAGACTTTTTTCTAATTTTCGTCTCATGTTCTTGTACAACCAAACTTACTGCTGTAGTCCACTTTTCCAATCATGTTTGCAAGGCGATATAAAAGCTGGAATTTGGTGGAACAATATGTAGTTTAAGATTTCATTTTTGAATTTTAGAAAGTTAGGTTGGAAACATGGTATTACATGAGTTGACTTTTCATGTAGGTTTTTTGTGCTACTTGTCATGATTTTTCGCGGTACTTGTATATAGTAAGCTTTGATATAATAGGCTTGGCGGCTGGAAGGAGGGGCTTTGTGACCCGATTGAGGCCGCTCGCGCCTGCGACGCAGTCTGCGTCTCTCCCGAGGGCGTGCTCTCTGATCATTACCTAGTCTTAATTAGGTCACGAAGCCTCGCCTTCTAGCCGCCCAGCCAGTTGAATCAAAGCGTACATACAAAGTTTTATCCTATCGCGTGGAAGTCATGCTCAATCCTCTAACCTCAACTGACTGAAAATTTTAGCGCTGATTATGGGAAATGGGTTTTGGAAGCCATCGTATATGCCGTTTGTCTCATGTTGGTCAGAATCATTAATTTCAGTCGATCCACTTGCCGAGCCTTGTGCCGTCTGCGGTGACAAGTCCACTGGAACACATTACGGCGTAATCTCGTGTAATGGCTGCAAGGTACGCAAATTTTCTAAATTAGCCTTCTCTTTATTCCTGACATGAGCTTCAAGTAGCTGTTTTTAAAGCTCTAGTTCCTGTTTGATCATTTGCAGAATCCCTATGCCTCTATCTTGGTGCTGAGGTTGTATGTAGTTCTAAACAGCTGTGTGATCCGCGTCACCTCTGTCGGCACAGCGTCTCTCTTATTCACGCAAATTTTCGTTTTTCTCTGCCCAGAACCGGTTCTGGAACACGAATGATTGGAGATTCTAGAGGGCACGAGCCCTTCTCTATTTTACCAGTTGGGGTTTGCAGGTACACATAGAGGGACTGTTCTCTAGATTTGTGCATAGTCGAAAAGACATAGCACACTTCAGTCGACTCCTCCATTTTTGTAATATTCGGATGTATTTGGAGGTGTAGCGTAAAAAGATGGCAAAGATAATTTACTTGGTAACTGACATAAAAGCATTTCGTAAGGACTTATGGAACGGCCTCATTGTGTTTTTTGAATAAGTGATGTTATTGGATACTCGCTCGATTGCTACGGAGCAAATCTGGTTGCAGAATGCATCATACCATAGTGTCTGAATTTAGTACTTGTGTAGGATCAGTGAAAACGCCTTTTTATAAGTATGGATATAATACAGATCCTAAGGAATCCTTATTCCGAGGGGCTTCAAAAGTCTAAACATTTCATTTTTGATTTTACATTTGCAGCTGCATGTCTTTATAGGGAGTGTAGCTTAGTCCACTGCGGTGATTGAAGGCAGCGTCCAGGCAAGTCTGGACCTATGGGGATTTTACGTGGAAAGCACTTTTGGGGCCCTAACTAAGCCACTGCCCAACCGGCAGCTCAGGTAGTGCCCTAACGGCTGAGATATTCCCCTCGAAACTGGACCCCGCGACCGTTTTCGCATGGATCCATGGCGCATAGCGTGGATCCTGGCGCGAAACTGCCATGAATCCATGCGAATACGTTCGCGGGGGCCAGTTTCGAGGGGAATATCTCAGCCATTAGAGCACTAAATGAGCTGCCGCTGGGAGGTGCCTTAGTTAGGGCCCCAAAAGTACTTTCCACGTAAAAGCCACATAGGTCCAGATCTGCCTGGACGCTGCCTTTAAAGGGATTGCTAGTTTCATTAAAACCTTTATGTTCGCCTCATACTATGGATCTGCGTCAAAATCCTTCTTCGTGTACATCTCGAACTCATAAAGCGTATAAAGTGAACAATGCCATTAGTCTTCTTGCGATAGGAATGGGAAGGAAAGTCTCTGGAACTCAATTTTGACTTATACCTAAGTCTCCCTTCGAACACTCATTTGTAAAAAAAGGCGCTGTTCCGCTATCCGGGCCCCAAAATTTTTGTCATGGATTTCGCTCAAACTTGGCCCGGGGGGTTATCTGACATGCTGATCACGAACATCACATTTTCTCTGCAGGAAGTTGCCTCCCTGCAGGGTTACGGTAGGTATACAGTAGAGGGTCAAAATATTTAGCTGAAATTTGGCTCAGGGGGTTATCTGGCGTGCTGATCACGATATCACGTTTTTTCCGCGTGAGGACGCCTTCCTATGCGGTTACGGTGGATATACGGCAGGGGGCCAAAATCACGAACCTTGCTGAAACTTGGCATAGGGGGGTTATTCGGGCCGCTGATGCCAAATTCACATTGGTTTTGAACCGTAGCCATTTTCTTGAATTACGGTAGATAACGGGTGTAAAAATGATTTGCCTGAAACGGGTGTACGGCGATTCGGACAATCTTGAAGCTTTGCACACACGACCAGCGCCGCGTGCTACACACCCTGCAGCGGCTTTTGCCTAAGCAAAGCACAGGGGAAAGATACATTTGCCGATTTGTGATTTTGACCCTTACCGGAAGCCTACCGTAACCATGCACGGACACCTTTTCGTGCGGAGAAAGTGTGACATTTCTAATCAGCATGTCGAATAACCCCTCTGTGCGAAGTTATAGCGGATTTTTAGATTTTGACCCCTTACCGTATACCCACCGTATTTGGAGAAAATGACGCTACGGTACAAAACCAATGTGATATTCAGCATCAGCGGGCCGAATAACCCCGCTACACCGATTTTGATTTCGAAATCCACGGTTTCAACCCCCTACCATATACCTACCGTAACCCTGCAGGGAGGCGTTCTCCTGCGGATAAAATGTGATATTAGTGATCAGCATGTCAGATAACCCCCCTGCGCCGAGGTTGAGCGAAGTCCATGACTAAAAAATTTTGGGGCGCGGATAGCGAAATAGCGCCTAAAAAATACCAGAATTATCTGGCTAATCTTCTCGGAGTAGGGAAATTCCTTTTTTCTTTGACTTTGATGTTTCACCCGGTACGTTGAATTGCATTGCTTTCCGTACAGCAGATTATAAGTCTTTTGAAAGTTCACAATGTTCTCACGAAAGTTCCTTTCTCCGCTGCATTTTTCAAATTCGCAAATGGTATTGCATGGTATGTGTGTTGTATGTAAATGTCCTGAAAAGTTGGACAAAAATGTCTGCAAAAAAACATGAAAATGCTTGTCGTCAAAGGTGGGAGCAGAATTAGACCGCGTTGGACCGCCTATAACAAAAATATATCGGTATGAAAACAATTTGGAGTCAGCCTGTATGATATCCGCGTTAAAGCTTGATAAGACAACTCTAGCTCAACTCTGCCTGATGTACACTGGTAGAGCGAAAACTCTACATACCAAGATCGATGGTTGGTAATATGAAGATGACTGTGCGTTATGAGTGTGGTCTGAAGAGCTAAAAGTAGGCCAAAAACAGAAATCGATTCGTTAGTGCTGGACACAAGAATTGGAAAAGCAATGGTCTACACAAAAGTTGACTTGGAAATGAGTTCTTCATGGGTAGTGACGGTGACAACTTACTCACTTAGACAGCGGCCGAAAAATTGTGGAAATCGATGTTGAAAATGCTGGCGAACATGCTGAAAATACCGCTCAGAGTTTGCTTTTTGTTGGAAGATTTCACCCATATTTTCCTAAAAGGAACATGACAAGTTCTCCTGAAATTATCTTGTGCTTATATCTACGGTAAGAACTGTTCTAAATGTTCTATGAAAACTTCTAAATGGGTGTCTCACTTGAAAGGGTTGTGTTGTCTGTTGGAATAGTCTTTTATCCTCTTTAGCAAACTTAGGGTAGCAGAGGTACTGTGCGTGCGCTTCTTGATAACGCTATCGCTTTTTCTGATCTTTGGAAAGCTGGGGCGAATTCACTGATTCACTACCAAAATCTTCTCCTACTCTTTTGAATTTATCATTCATTTAGTTATAAAATTAGCAGAAACTACTTAAACACCTTTTTTCTCTTTTTGAATAACCTGACTTGCTGATCACAAATGCTGTAATACTTATATCGCTAGAGACGGTTGTGTGGTCATGCGGTGGAGAAGCGAGAAATCAAATTTCCATGTATCTCTAGACTACAAATAGCAGACTGAGATGAGCGAGTTTAACACTTGTGTGCGCTAGAATAGAAATAAATCTGTCAGTTTTGAAGCTGGTGCTGATAAGCTATCCTTTTTGCAGTGGCGGTCCCAGGATCTCTGTTTAGGGAAGGGGTGGGGGGAGGGGGGGGGAAACAAACATCCATTTTTAAACTGAATGCGCGGTTTGGGATGCTTCCAAAATTTTTGCGGACCATAATCCCGAGATTTTTTAAAAAAAAGGGACTTTCCGGCAGCTTTCTCGAGAAAAAAAGTCTTACTAAGGCTGATATTTTTCAAAAAAAAATTCTGAAAAGTATTCCGAACATTCACGGATGTAAGTCACTTGCACATTTCAGCTCATATAAGTAACTTCCATAAGTTTGGTGATATCATAAATCTCCCTTCCCCAACCCTCCCCCTCTTTTTCTCGGTTCACCACAACCTTAGGTATACTCAAAGATTCTAGGGGCATGAAGGAAATGAGTAATTTGACTACGCTGTGGTATACCCACTGTTACCGCACAAACAAAGCGTTGTTGTTCAAAGTACAAATCTTTGTCAGCAAATGACCAGCGTGAGTAAGGCCAGAAACTACTTTTTCCAACTTTTCGGATTTTTATGTAGAATAACGGTAGTCATTTTTTGCGAATGCCTTTGATACAGTGCTGGCCATAGCTATAAAGCCACCCTAAAAATCACCGTAATTTGCTCTCTCTTGCTCATATTTGTCTGAAAAACCACTATTCTGTGCGCAAACTAACGCCATACCATTGACCAGAACGGCTCCTGATTTCATGGATTTTGGCCGGAGAAAAATTGAAAATTTGAAAAAACGGGTTTTGAAGGCTGGTCACAGCTATAAAGCCACCTCTCATTTTCAATCAGTACTGCGTTTTTTGAACCTCAAATTTTTCGTACATATAGAACATCAAAACATAAAACATTTGTTAACACTTGGAAGGGGTCGCCTTTCAAAAAGAAGATTCGTACTGCATTTTTTGCTCTAAAATGCATAATAGGTCAAATCATTTGCAAAAAACTGCTTTTCCACTGAATTTTGAAGCACTTGTTTAACTCGGATGAAGGCCCTATGCTTTGGCGAGCCTTTGCAATGAACATGGCGAAAAGCGCTTGAGTTAACACTGCGTAGTCGCTGATATCGATAAACGAGCCCCAACCTCACCTCAGGTAGACGAGTTTTCGAACCGCAGAAATTGAGTTCTAATGCCCGAAAAGCTCTGTCGCGTGCTCAGCACGTCGCTTGTATAACGACAGACTCGTTTCCATAGCCTGTACGTCATCGCAACTCTGGGGACTCTGGTTCCCCTTTGGACGCCTTTTTTCCAAAAATGAGTGGTGCACTCCATCTGATCATGATCCACTCTAACCACCTCGATCGAGCGGAAAACCGCTCAGAAGTTCAAAATCTTTCTATTCCTGACAGTTTAGTAAGATTTGAATTGATGAGGAGTTCAAAGCAGTGAAATTTGAAGTTTTGTGAGATACACTGCGCACAACCGAACTGCAGACAAAGCGTCCTAACTTCATTGCGGC